CAGAGCCATCGCTCAGAGGAACGCCCTGCCACAGCTGCGCGGACACGCGCACCGTAACGCCACATGGCAGCAGCACGCACGGTAAGGTGGGATTGAAGTGCCATGGGCAGGTCACCTACCGAGAGATCGCAGGTGCCGGTGGCCGCTCCGTACGTCCGAGCGCTGGTGAGCCGCGTCGGAGTGGAGAATGTGGTCGGCAGTAGGAACTCGGTCAACCCAGTCACCGGGATTGTGGCGTTCGAGGGACCCTGCGGTCCGTGTGTGTCAGCGGGACAAGCGAGCGTCACGTGGTCACATGGTCGGCGGTAGGAACTCGGCCACCCCGGCCACCGGGACTGTGACGTTCGAGGGACCCTGCGGTCCGTGTGTGTCAGTGGGACAAGCGAGCGTCACGTGGTCACATGGTCGGCGGTAGGAACTCGGCCACCCCGGCCACCGGGACTGTGACGTTCGAGGGACCCTGCGGTCCGTGTGTGTCAGTGGGACAAGCAAGCCTCACGAACGCTGGCTAGGCCTCGACAAGCTGTGAAGACGGTCGTCGGATAAAGAGTCTCGCATTGAGTGCCATCCAAGCCGATTTTTGACTTCCAAGACGTGAATGTCATGATGTTCATGCTGACCCCAGTAACATAAAACCAAGTATTAGTGCGACACACTATATCCAAGCTAAACATCCCGGTACTTCCGAGCAAAAGCTGCCAGCCATTGCAATCCTACTCCAATTTGTTTGTCTTCGCATACCTATTATAGGTCTGTGCTCACGGACACGATAGTGCCAGCGAACGGCCGCCGCTTCGTGCAGCAAAGAGAACGGTCACAACTATACCATACTCGTATTGCATTCCCAGCACTGACCTGATGTGGTGCAGAACCGATCAGCATCCAAGGAGTTCCGGGGCTTGGAACGTCGAACTCGCGCCATCGTCATCATATAATGTTTGCACCTACGAGTTCAAACAAGGTCAGGTGGCAGACCTGTTCGCATGTCTCTCCAGGTTCGGTGAGCTCGCTATGCCGGTCGACCTTATCAGCAGCCAACTGACATGATCTGCAGTCAAGTGATCGACATTATACACCGATAAGTGGCTGACCGACATCAGCGACCGATTAGACGATATCATGCAAGGTCAAATAGTCGACATCATCCTCGACCAGGTGGTCGACGAAAGCTTCCTCCAGAGGCAAAAAAGCGTCCTCTCGCCCGTGAGCGCGGGAGACTCATCGCCAATGCCTGCGCTTCAATGAAAGAAGACATAAACGCTCTCTATTGTTCAAGTTCTTTTAACATATCCTCTCACGAAATGTCGATTGTGATGAAATTGTTCACGTTACAAACACTGAAAGAAAAGAGAATATGCCACACGCGGCATAGACTTTTTTCAGCACTGCCGTACGGAATGACAGTTGTAGGCAATTTGTGCGCCCACTCCACTGTCCCCCATTTTCGAAGGCTCAGTGTAGTTCAGCTTTCAGGATGCTCCTCGACCTTACTACGCTGTCTCGTCAGCGCAAAAAAATGTGGCGGCTAACTGAAGACGTTGACTTATCATACAAACCTTTGTCATGGCATGTAACCGTCCAGCTGACTTTGTGCATTAGTTTTTATTGGAAGATTTTATCTTTATTTGTTTTATCGAAGAGCTTCAATAAGTAGTTTAACTCCAAGACGGTACAGTGCCTGTACCATGTAAGGCCGCATTACATATGTGTGTCTGTCCGGGCATATGCGTCCTTCTGAGGTAAGGCTTGATGTTGTTATGGATATACTTAATGTATTGGATGAAGTCCAGCAGCTCACCTTGAGAGTGAGTCCAGAGCCCTATGGAATCGTCGACGTATCTGGCGTAAAAATCAGGTTTTAGAGGCTCGCGTTGTTAATGGCAACTTGTTCAAATTTGTGCTCAAAGATTATTGCAACGGGAGATGCCGTCTTGTTGCCATTGTAATGCCGAAGTGCTGTTTGTAGTGGCCATTATCTAATCTGAAGGTGACGGTGTGCAAGAGCTCGCGTGATCCCCGCGGGTGCGTAAGGGGTCAGCCGATATGTGCCCACAGACAAGTTGCAGACTATGCACCATTTAATCGGAAGTGTTGCACGGGTTTCAGGAAAGCCCAAAAATCCTTATACAAACGGATTAAAAGAGAGAGAGAGAGGGGGAGGCGGAGAGAGAGAGGACACACACACACACACACACACACACACACACACACACACACACACACACACACACATATATATATATATATATATATATATATATATATATATATATATATATATATATATGTATATATATATATGTGTATATATGTGTATATATATATATATATATATATGTATATATATGTGTATAGATATACATATGTATATATATATATATATATATATATATATATATATATATATGTGTGTGTGTGTGTGTATGTGTGTATTCTCGATTGATGATTGCTGAGAAGGGTAACCTAATGTGCTGAACCGATATCAGCCTCGTTTATCTGAATACATACACAAATTGAATACTCAAGGTTTAAGGTGGAAAGGACTAAGCGCCCGAGCTGGCATGCATGTCATGTCAGGTCACGTGATGACCTGATGCAATCAATTGCATGTGACACATTACCAGGAAAGAAACAAATTCAGCGTTGAATGGTGCCATTTTCTTCATCGAACGACACCTGGCTCAAAAGTTATACGCATAAATATCTGGGAATAATCAGCTTCCGTCGCAATGAATTAGTTCCCGTTGACTCTAAATGAACCTTACGACTTCAAAAATTCCTACATTTTGATTTTTTAAGCCGCAAACGTACAAAACTAAGTTAATGAAGAGCTTTTCGGCTTTACACGGGCATCAAAAATTTTGGCTTCTAGACATCAACGCGTGCCACACCGATATTCGTTACGTATAGACCAAACGCGTGATGATCGCCACGCAGGCTAAGTGAGACCATTACAAGCCTGTGCTATGCGCTTGTGCTCACATACTGAATGCAAGTTGTCATGTATAAAAAGTTAAGCAGTTGGAGAGCAGGTTATGTCGGGTTAAGTAATGACCTTGCGCAATCAGTTGTAGCAAATTACCAACAAGGAATTGTACTACCGAGTGGAGTAGTGTCATTTACTGGATCTAATGAGGTCTAGTTCAAGAAGCTATGCACACAAATAGCGCGAAATGAGCTTTCATATAATAATACATTCCGGCATTACAATCAAAATTGAATTGCTGCAATAACTTACAAGCTTTATCAGGGCTGCTGCAAACAAAATCGGATTCAAGTTGTGTGCGCATTAACAACACAGGTTTATATCGGTTACAAAGCATATTAAATTACTCTGCTTAGCAATCATGACGTGTTTTTAATTGGATACGAGGAACACCGATCTGGCATACGGCAACATCTGGACGTCAAATTTTTTTGATACCCAGGAAAATCTGAAAATATCCCATTATCACAGTTCTTCTACATGTGTACCCTTAAAAAATGAACGGGTTCGGTTTTTCAAATCATATGATCTCATGTCAAAGTCACCAGGAATAATGCGTTGCTGTAGGGACTGATCACCACTGGCCAGACAGTTATGTGCATAACTCTTGAACTAAGCTCTATTACATCAAGAAAATATAGAGAATAAAATAACAGAGAGAGAGAGAGAGAGAGAGAGAGAGAGAGAGAGAGAGAGAGAGAAGAGAGAGAGAGAGAGAAGAGAGAGAGAGAGAGGGAGAGAGAGAGAGAGAGAGGAAGAGAGAGAGGGGCATATACATATTGACCGTACTAAAAAGGCCAACACTACGAGAATGGCCTTTTCTCGTAGTGTTTTTGCATGTTCGTTCATTATGTTTGCTACCAACTCGCATTCACTTACCTGGTTATACCGACATTCTTAAGTTAGTAGATTTCCATTCGTATATTCTTTGCACCACTCCCAATCAATTTTTATCAATCGTACCCTGTCCATGCAAGGACTAAGCAGTTAATAACATGATTTAAGCTCAAAACGTGCATTTGACATACAAATGCGGTTGAACAACAACTGCTGGCCGTTGATGCAACGCATCGTGCTGGCGTACCTAAGGCACAAATAACTTCATGATCATATTTGATGTTTCTGGTGCCATGTATGTTTGGGTGGCCTTGAAATAGTCTATGCAAGTCTGCGGGCGTCAGACACAAAACAAACGGGTTTCAAATACTAAAAACGGCGTGAATGCAAACCGCACTGCATGTTTGTCGAAATGGCTAGTTCAGTTCAAAATCTCACACAAATCTGGGACACCCCTCTAATCTCGCACCGTTTTCCCAATAATCAGCTTTTGTGCGCGCACGTAGCAAAATAGCAGGGCCCCTGTCATTTTCGGTAAGCGTCAGGAGAAGCGGAGGTGACTCAAAAACCTCTGGTGGAGCACTATCTTCAAGGTGTCCGGGGTCTAGGTGCGCTGGCACCAAAGGCGAGGAACCGTGATAAGCCGAAACGACGTCAGACACCGTTACTCGGGTGGCCACCACAAAATGATGCTGACCTCCCGCGTCGCCGAGCAGGTGTCACGCACTGACACCATGGTACGAGCAGGTGTCACGCACGGGCACCATGGAACGATCAGGGGTTACGCACTGACACCATGGAACGAGCAGGTGTCGCGTGCTGACACCATGGAACGAGCAGGTGTGACGCGCTGGCACCATGGAACGAGCATGTGTCACGCACTGACACCATGGAACGAGCAAGTGTCACGTGCTGACGTCATGGAACGATCAGGGATCCGGTCTGGCACCATGGAACGAGCAGATGTCACGCGCTGACACCATGGAACGAGCAGATGTCACGCGCTGACACCATGGAACGAGCAGGTGTCACGTGCTGACGCCATGGAACGAGCAGGTGTCACGCGCTGACACCATGGAACGAGCAGATGTCACGTGTTAACGACATGGAACGAGCAAGTGTCGCGCACTGACGCTATGAAACGCCGGCGTTGGTGGACGCGTGATGCGTGTAGGTGTGACGGGGATATCGGCCCTGCCGCCACCGAAAAATACCTGTTTGATAGTGACACGGTGTTGTAAGCCATTCAGCTGGGGCTGTGGCCCCGACCCCAATAAACTTATTCCTGACGCAATTGCTGTTGCCAAAAAAAGTCTGAGGCCCTTTTCAGTGCCTTTCTTCCTTTCCCCGAACCACATGCATGGCTTTTGTACACTTGTTTAAGAATTTGTGTCAGAATTGAACCAATTAGCAGGGTTGGAGTCGCATTCCAGCAGCAATACACAAACATGACTCAGTCTGGCCGTTGGTAGCATTCCCCGACTGCATATATGTTACTTGGTCGTAAGCTGCGTAGTCGCAGCATAACATCACTCGACGTCTCCATGCGTTCCTGCATGCATAGCTATCCGGTCAGATAACGCACGTAATTGCTTTCCAAGCGAGATGGTGTGGCGAACCTCAGACTCACTTACCTCTATGCCAGAGCCACTGACAGCTGCTCCGCAGTAGTAGCTGACGTGGGGCTCCTCCACTTTGGGACACGTAACCTCCAACAGCTGCGCGGTGGCCAGGATGGTGATGTTCCTGGTCTGCAGGAGCACCACCTGCCCCCCTCGCATGGACGCAGTCACTAGGATTTCGTACGTTCCAGGCGCGAAATAGTTGATGTCGTACGCCATGGAGTTGACGGTTCCATCTGGTCATGTAAGGGAAGGGGGTTGGCACATTTTATTAGAGGCAAGTAACGAAAAAAAGACTGTATCGGCTGCAATATCGGCTGCAACGTTCAAGTTCAGCGTGAGGAAGGCCAAGGATAAATGACAGGGACAAATAGGAGCGGAATTTTACATGCAGCAGTTTGAAATTATCCGTGCCCTATTTGAACGCTTTGTACTTTTTTCGGGCGTAAAAATAACTTGACATTCGTGTTGTGACGAATGAGAATTGTAGGAAAAGATAGTGTTTGATTACGTAAATTGTTAGGTGCATTTGCAAAGAACATTATTCACATAGATGAGACAGTAGTAATATCCTTATTCCTCGAGAAAAAAAACAGGAGAATGAAGATGCAGATGGGTTAATATTTCGGCAGCATACTTTTATCGAAACATTAACATAAGTGAATTCAAAATTACCTGACGATGATCCTACTCGATTTTTCAGGTTTCTTTTTTAAAACAACAACCCACAGTCTTTACAGGACACCAACATTCAGGGGATTAAACAAAGAGCAATTGCCAGCCATTACCACAATACAGTGCCTATCTAGGAATTAGAATACGCGAACATACGCGTACATTCAAACAAATTCAAGCAAATGGGCATCACGCATCACGACTCACTCAAAACATGCAAGCGAGTTGAACTAAACAGGCATCACACACCGCGCATCAATTATACATTTCAAGAGATTTCAAATGAACAGGCGTCGCACATCACGCGTCAGGCATCACTTACACGTGTAAACAATTTTAAACTAGCACACATCACATAAAGACACATATCACGTTTGCATAACCGGTCTTGATCAACCCTGTATGTTAATATTTGGTCGCCGACTTTTTATAAGAAAATATTTACTTCTTTTCCTGTCTAGGTGGTCGTGTGCTGTGTAGATGAATTTGATTTTCGATAGGAACTGTAGATGGCAGACAGGAAAATAAGTGAATATTTTCTTATAAAAAGTCGTCGACCTAATCTTAACATACCTGGCTCATCATGGCCGATTATGCGAAAGTGATACGTGCCTTTATGTGTGATACGTCCTAGTTTAAGTTTACATGTGTAAGTGATACATCGCGCTTGATGTGTGGCGCCTGTTCATTTGAAATTGCTTGCATGCGTGATTGAAGCGTGTCTAGTTCATGGAAAGGCACCGTATCGTGGCAATGTTTAATCCCCTGAATGTTGGTGCTCTGTAAAAACTGAGGCTTGCTGTCTAAAAAATCCTGAAAATTTGGCAGGATGATTGGCAAGTAATTTTGAATACACTTCTGCTATCATTTCGATAAAGGCATGTCGCCGAAATATTAACCCGTCTATATCTCCATTCTCCTGGTTTTTCTCCGAGGTGTAAGGCTATTACTAACGTATTTTAATGTTTGATTAGTACCCTCAAAGGAAGTGTCGCACCTTTGGGGCTTATTTAGAAAAAAATGCTTCGGTGAAACTTCAGGACTAGTTACGTCTAATAACAAAACTGGGTAGTGTCGCTGAAGCACCGTCAAGACATCATAAGGATATAAATTTGAATTATTTGCGAGTACAAATTGTACAGCCAGTACTTTGTAACAGCACTACACTTCTTCCCTGCACTGACCACCGTCGTCATGACGACTGTGCTCACCTGTACTGGTGGGAATAAGAGATCGTTTGTGATTGGCCCAGGTTACTGTCGGCGTTGAATGATTAATTCCCCAGCACTAAGTGAGGCGGTGTTATAAACAACGCCCCTTCGCTTGTGAACACCGAACGTAAAAGCGTTGTTCAAGTAGTGCGACGGACAACATTAGCACGAAGCAATAGTACTGCATTAATACGACATAATAGTATTGCATAAGCGCTACAGTGGTACGATAATAGTAAGATGGACTACTACAGTGCCATTGGGTACAGTCTGGGGAATCAGACGGCGGGTGTCAGGCAGGCGTCATCTATTTCTCACTTGGTTGTCAATCTCTTAAAGAAAAACAGTCGCATCGCGCAAAACCGTCACAAGACATGCCGTAACAAGGCCAACGAATAATTAATTTGCTTCCTGTGTTCCGAAAAAGACAGTTCAAAGAAATTATGTCCATGTGGACACAAAACCTCTGGGTCTTCCTTTTAACAAGGTCAGTGGCATACGTGTGCAACATAGATTATCGTAGGACTGGAAATGTAAAATTAAAGAACCTCCAATAAGATTTGCAGTGGCCGACGCTGGAAATTCAAAGCCATTTCTAGCGGGCAACGGATCGAC